TACTTCAATCCTAAACACTTCAGCATGTGTCTTTTAAAAATAAGAACCACAATGTTATATTTACCCTTAGCAAAATTAATAAGAATTCTTATATCCAATCTCAGTCTTACCTAATTTTCTCTAATTGTTTCCAAAATGTCTTTTATAACTGTTTATTTTAGACTGAGACCCAGTCACAATAGTTTTATTTTGTTATGTCTTGCCTCTTTCAGTCGGGGTCAGTCCCTCTGCCTTCTTCCCTCCGCAGACACTGACTTTGAACAGCTCCAAAGCACCCCGTTCTGCATGTGGCTCCGTGTTTCCTCCTGATGTCATTTATCTGACCCTCTATCTTCCATGCTTGTTGTAAGCTGGAATATGTCAGAGGTCTTGCTTAGATTCAGATTAAACATGTTTTGTGTTTGTTTTTGCAACAATACATTAGTAGCAATGTTATGAACTTCTCAAGAAGCATCACTATAAGGAGGAAATGTTCAGATGGTCTCTCTCTTGTATAGTATAAGATTTTTTCCTTTGTAAGTAGAAAAAAATCAGGAGAGCCCTGGCCAGTTTGGCTGAGCGGTAGAGCGTCGGCCCGAGGACCAATGAGTCACGGGTTTGATTCCGGTCAAGGGCACATACCTCAGTTTTGGTTCATCCCAGGCCCTGGTCTGGGTCACGAGGGAGGTAACCAATTGATGTGTCTTTCTCATGTTGATGTTTCTCTCTTCCTTTCTCTCCCTCTCTCTCCCTCCCACTCTATCTGAGGATAAATGGAAAATATCCTCGGGTGAGGATAAAAAGAAAAAAATCAACAGGTGATGTTTGGTACTGTATGAAGAGTCTATATTCCATCAGTCTTTTACCTAATGGTTTTGGCATCTATTGCTAGTCCGTATTTGGATCTGTTACTTCACTGGGGATTACATACTGGTGCTGTAGCTGAGGTTAGCTTCCTCTTCTCAAATGGGTAAGCACTACACTTCCCCTACCAGGAGGAGGAGGGGGGGAGGGGAGGTCCTTTAGTCTTTTAAAAGTCTTTTTATTAAGGTTTCATTTACATGCAATACAATTCTGCGATTTTTATGTGTACAATTTGATGAGTTTGAAAAAATATCCAGTTCTGTGACCACCGCCACAATCATGATATAGAATGTTTCTCATATGCCAAATACTTCTCAGTGCCTCTCTATGGTCAACCCCTTCTCCATCCCCAGCCCCAGAAAACTGAGTTGCCTTTTGGATGATATTCTTCCTTTTTTTAAAAAATTCATTTATTGATTTTTTTAGAGATAGAAGAAGGGAGAGAGAGATGGAAACATTGATGTGAGAAAGAAACACTGAACAGCTGCCTCCTACATGTCTCCCACCAGGGATCAAGCCCACAACCCAGGCATCTGCCCTGACCAGGAACCTCAGTCCATGGGACCACACTCAGTCCACTGAGCCACACCGGCGGGGCCGTATGATATTCTTTCACTGAGCATAACATCTTTGAGATTCATGCATGTTGTTACATTTATCAATAGTTGGTTCCTTTTTATTGCTGAGTAGTTTTTTATGGCATGGATGGATCTACCACAGGTTGTTTTTTATTTACAGATTGATGGAAATTTGGGATATTTCCAGTTTGGAGATATTATGAATAACACTACTGTAAACATTTCTGTGCAACTCTTAGTGTCAACACGTTTTTACTTTTCTTGGGTAAATATCCAAGAGTGAGGTTACTGGACGGTCTTTTAAGTGTCTGTTTAACTTGATAAGAAACTGCCAACTGTGTCATTCGGCATTCCTTCCATCTGTGTCAGAGAATGAAGGTTGCTCTATATCATTGACAATGCTTGATAATATTACTCTTTGCAACACACTTTGCTGCTTAAGGCATTTAATCCCTTCATGATTCATTACTTGATTGAGCACCCATTGAATGCCTGGGTGCTGGGACACCCTGGATGTTATATTGTAAACAGACAATAGACAATTTATCCAGTAATTTTGATAAACTCTATCATAGCTTTCCTATATGTTCTTTTGGGTTTTCTATGGAGACAATCATATCAGAAAACTATGACTAGCAAATCATTCCCTCCTTCTTGAAATCCCTTCCATACCAGGCTCCCGGGGGAGTCCACTCTCCTGGTTTTCCTTCCCTCTTACTGGCTGCCACTTGGAGTTCATCTTCATCTTCATCTTCTTGACTTGTTTCAGTTGGAGTACCTTTCAGGATTCAATTTTCAAACATGTCTTTTCTAACTATATTCACAGCCTTAATAATCTATCCCATCAGATGGATTTAATTTAATCGTCTATACTTTATAAACTCCCAAATTTACATCTGCACCCTGGACTGGTACCCTAAACATGACACTTGAATATTTACTTGACTGCCTACTTACTCTCTCATTTTGGTTGGTAAATGTAAATAATAACAATAACAATCACCAAATAAAACCCCACTAACACCAGCTCATCACCACAAGCATTTATATGGTGCTTAATAAAAGTCAGGGACTATTCTAAGAGCTGTACATAAATTAACTATTTTTAAAATGTAACTTAATAGGCACCCCAATCTTAACACATCCGAAACTGAACCCTTGTCTCTTCCCATTTAGTCTTCCCCATTTCAGTTAATAGTATCTCCATCCTTTTGGCTGCTAAGGCCCAACACTTGGAGTTAGTCTTGAATCCTTCCTGTTCCCCCAACCCCCCTGTTCGGAGCAAATACTATTGGCTCTATATGCAAACAATCCCAGATTGCCACCAGTTCTCATTATCTTTCTGCTATGGCCCTGTCCACACCATGCCCTTCCAGGTCAATTCCTGCAATAGCTTTCCTCCTTTTCCTTCTGTAATTAATTCACAGCATGGTAGCCAGAGTGATCTATTAAACAAAAGTCAGATCATGAAATGCCTCTCCTCACAACCCTCTGTGTCTGTGTCCTCCCATGTAACTCAGAGTAAACACCGAAGTCCTTAAGTTGACCTGTTACATCTCATCCAGTGATCTGTCCTCTGAGCCTACCACCATTCCCCTGTCCCCTCACCGTGTTCCACCCCTCTGCCCTTGCTGTTTCTAGATCTCAGCAGACACAGTCATATCTAAGTAGGTGTCCTTGACTTACATTGACTTACTGGAGAATGTAACACTTGAACCTCAGTGTACCTCACCTATCAAGTCACGCTGATGCATATTATTTTAATCCTAACTGAGAAATGAAAACTGCACATCACCAGTATTCATGGAGTGCCCAGAGCTGTTATAAGCACCACTGGGCTATCAAAGAGGGAGAAGACACCAGCTCTGCCTGGATAAGTGGCTGCTTAATGTGGCCTGGCCACAGCTATCGCATAAAGAAAAATGATGATTTGAATAGAGTTTTAAATTAAACTCTGTTCCATTTCTACAGTAAAGTATGCTTATTTCTGCCTACCTCTTACACCTATCTGAATAAATGGCTTGCAGATTTTTCCCTTCAACTTTTCAAATGGTGATTTGTTTACCTAACAAATTATTTCCCGACAAACACTGTCAGTCAGTGTAATTGGACATTTCCCAGCACTTGAGAAAAATGTACAAAACCGGGCATAATCCAATTGGTTGTGTTCTTTATGCTTTAAGACTTATTTATGTATAACTAGGACTACGGTTATTTTTATTATTTAAAAAAAATTGCCATAATCCATATAAGTGTGTCACCAAAGAAATGTGTAGTTATGTTGAAGTGTATTAAAATAATTCAAAGTATATTATTGAAAGGAGCACATTATTTCACCTGCTGAATAAACTATTTTAGTTTAAAAAGTATCAGCTTTTAAATTATTTTGTAATAGATTAGAATTGCTTTAAAAAATGATTCCTTCAGAAAACAACAACAAAAAATTATGAGAATTCTTTAAATTCAAAATGAAGCTAAACTGAGTTCAGAATTTTCTTACCCAAAGCAGATTTTCATTTTGTCTCCCAAAGCCAACAGGAGGCAAGGGCCCAGCTTCTTTGCCAGTTACATGCCACTTCTCCCTCCATAAGCTTTATTCCCAAATGTCCTTGGGAACCAACTTCTGACTCCAGACAAATGACTGTTAGTTCCAGCTCTTACCTGCAAATGACAATAATTTGTATATCTGTGCCAGTCTCTGGGTTAGCCAGATGATAAGATTACAGGACGTGTTTGTTCAGTTTATTAGCAGAAATTCGTTCCACCCAGGCACAGCAAAGGGCGGTTTCAGGTGGTAGTAGTGGTGGTGGTGGTGGTGGGGGGGGGGGGGGTGCCAGGGACCCGCCAGGATGGATTGGCTTTTCTTATTAGGAAGTGGGAAAGGAAAGCACTATTTCCTCTTTGGGATCCCCATTTCCCCTTTCAGTTCCTCTGTTGGGGCAGACAATAGAAGCCTCTAGGCCCTTCTCTCCAGGCACCGGGTCCTTGTCGCCCCCTCTCCCCCTCCTCTCCTCCCCTCCCTGCACCCACTGGCTTCCCCAACTCGGGCTCCAGGAGGAGATTTGTCAGAACCGTTCGGTTGAGACTGATTATGATTGCAGCAGATGGGCTGGATTTGACAGCCCGATCCTAAGCAGCTTCTGATGGGGTGGGGGGGCGGAGGGGCGGGGAGGGGGAGCAAGTGGGGGGCGGGAATCTCTGGGCCGAGCTGCCTAGTATGAGCGCACCAGCACAGCCGGGGCAGGCACTCCTGGGCAGCTGTTTAACGCGCGCCTCCGGGAGGAAAGTGGCACACAGACCCTAGGGCCTCCCACAAGGCCAGCGAACCGTCCCATTGCGTAGAGGGCGAGGAGACACCAGGAAGCAGGCGCTGGGGACCCGTGGAACACAAAGCGGAAGAAAGCGAGGGAGCTTGGTATCTTGGCTACCCCGAGCCGTGGGCTGGCTGTGGAGCGCGCCTGACCCAGGCTACCTCTGCGCGCGCCGGGCATGGCAAGTTTGCCAACTCCGGGCTCTGCAGCCAGCGCCTTGCTGCTCCCGAAGTGACAGCACTGCAGGCTCTGCCCTCAGGGGGCGGCGCCCACCCAACCCCCCAACCCACTGCAAAATGCTCCAGCACAGGCCAGGTAAGGAGACGCCAGCCCACTCCCCTCCCAGGCGCGCACCCAGTGCAGGGCTGCCGGGGCCTCTCTGGTCCCTTTGCTCCCACTAGTCCCTGCTGACTCCCTGCTTCAGTTCCTCCCTCCGTGGTCTGCACGGTCCATCTCTGCTCTCTACCGCCCTCCCTCACTGTCGCCCTTTTTTCCCACCTTACCGGATCCCAACAGCAGGGGGAGAAGTTCGGGAGGTGGCGCGAGGAGGTTATGGGTTCTCTTCCCTGAACGCCGCCGGTGCAACCAGACACCCGAGGCTGGAAGGTGGTGGGAGCCGGGTGGGTACGTGTGGTCTCATCCACATTCCCGGCCCCACGCAGTCCCTTCCCAACACAATACACACACCCTCCTTTCCACCTGTGGGGCCTCCCTTTGTGCTGGAAGTACAAATGAAAACACGCGAACACCTGGAGACACATTTCCACCTTGTTATCCTCCAGAGACTGCTGCAGAGTGTGAGCTTGGAGGGGGGCAGGCAGTGGGAGTACCCCGACCCTCCCAAGCACAGGGCCAGTGTCTCTCCTGCCTCTTGATCCTGTGTCCAGGTGCCAGCAGGAGCCAGGCACCTCCAAGAGGTCCAGGAGGTAGCAGTACTAGGCAGTGAGATTGCTGTGCCACCAGAAACCCCCCACCCCCACCCCAGGGCCCGGCTGCCTGGACCACTTCCTGGCCTGGCCCCAGCAGGGTATGCCCACCCCCACTTGCCATGGTAGCCACCTACCCCGCTTCGGCCCCTATCACCAGTGGGTCCCTGACCTTGTCTACCCAACAGCTCAGGTCCTCTAGCTCTGGCTTCCCCGCCTTGGCTGCTACTGCCTAGCGCCCCAGGAGCTCTGAGTGTGTGTCCTGTTGCTACTGGCAACTGCCTGTGCAGAAAGCTCAGCCCCCAAAGTAGCTTAATGCTGATTGATGGGCAGAAATGCGATATTTTCTGGAGCTTAGCGGGTGCTGGTGCAGGGCCCCTCCCTGCTGCTGGAGCCCTTTAGCCCTTCAGACCTCCGGGAGAGCTGGCTGACCTCCTTCCCTCCTCGGCCCCACCTTACCCCACCCCTCAGTAAACAGGAGCCTCTGGGATATCCTCATCACCTAGGGTTGAATTCAGTGCCAGCATTTGCTTTCCAGGGTAACTGGCAGCCACCCCAGGGTTTCCCTTCTTATTTTCAGGCTTCTGTTGAGTCAGGTAAATGGGGCCCTGTTCCTGGACATTACCATCTCTTCTCTCTTTTCATCCCCCACCTCCTCACATACTTCTCCCTACACATAGGTACTTGAAATGGGGCACCTTTTTAATGATTAGAACTATTCCAGCAAATGCTCATGAAAGCATTTTCAAAAATAATTCATTTCATATCAGTACCTCTTCCTCAACTTCTCTCCTCCCACAGAGCCTGCCATTTCCACCCCTAGAAAGACAGGGTCTGGGCACTAACCCTGGATGAACGCTCGGTGCTCACCAACCTTTGCTGCTCTGTGTATTTTCATCCCCCCCCCCCCAAGCACTGCCCCTTTGCTTTTCAGGGGTGGCGGCCTTCTCCCTGGAGTTATCTAAACTAATACCACGTCTCTGCCCCGTCTGCACTTCTCCCCTTCCTCCTCAGCAGTGGCAGCGGAGGGCTAGATTCATTTCTGAAGACGTTATCTTCAGGAGAACTTTGTTCCATGGTATTTTTTTCTCGAAATGTTCCCTGTAATTTTCGCAGAATATTTTCATTATCTAAACTGTCCTGCCTATCTCTGTTTTGCTTGTTAATATTAATTGGAAAAACCATGTGAGTGATGTTTTAAAGTTATTCATTTACTCATCCAAACAAAACTTTGAGAGGTGCTGCTGTGTTGGGTACCAGTTAGGGTGGGCATGAAGCAAACACAGGCCCACGTGGCTATCAGCATTTTACAGCTCACATGGCTGCTGGGTTTGGATATTGCCATGATAGTTAATATTGTAACAGCACGCTGCTTTTGATCAGGACTTTACAGTTTACAAAAGGCTTTCCTAGGCAATATCTCCTTTAATCCCAGCAGCAGGAATTTTAAATAGCAGGGATTCCATCAAAAGGCTCAGTAATGCTCACCAATCCTGCTTAACAAAAAAGAAAAAGAATCTTGCAAATCATCCCCACAGATGATGGAGCTTTAAAACACAGAAGAAGCAATTGAGAAGAAGCTTTTAAAGCTTAGTTACAGGAATGTAGTTGGAAAAGATAAGTAAAATGCATATAACGTGCACATTACCAGGAAGATATGGGAAGAAACCATCCTAAGACTGTGGTCCCTTGGTTGCTGGAGGCGGAGACTTGCCAGGGTTCTGGGCTATTGCCTTATGTTAGGATCTAAAATGGGATGAAAGTGTTAGCACAAAGTTGCCGGGAGACGGAAAAATCAAGCAAGATGAGTAGGCAATGAAGTTACTTTCTTTAGCTACAAGGCATTCTTTACATATTTGCAAGTTTCTAGTATATATTTACTTTAGAAATGGAGCAATTTTCTCTACTTAGAACATAAAAAAATGAGTTTGTGTACCTTGTCTGAACCATATAAAGACAATCAAGGTTTTGATCATTTTCACCCATTACTTTGAACACCAGAGATATCTTAGGTGGATAAATGGCAGTTTCTCTCTTTTTTATTAATTTTATTTACAGTCATTCACCACTTAATGATAGGGATGCGTTCTGTGAAATGTGTCCTTAGGTAATTTTGTCATTGTGTGAACATCATAGAGTGTCCTTATACAAAACTGTAATTGTATGGGCTGTACTTTTTATACAACCGGCAGTGCAGGGGTTTGTTCGCACCAGCATCACCACGAGCAGTGAGTAATATGTTGAGCTATAATGTTACTGCAGCTACCATGTCACTAGGTGATAGGAATTTCTCAGCTTCTTTGTATATAGGAGACCACCATCCTATATACAGTCTATCAATGACGGACACATCGTTGCACCGCACATGACTGTGCAGGGAGAATGTGCAGAAGGCCTTCCTGTAGATCTGTTCATTTCTCAGTTTTCACTTCTCACTGTGAATGTCATTCATGACTTACCTCCAAACATGATTTCTAGAATGCCAGCTGATACTTATAAATTTGTACCATTCCAATCCTCTTGTTTATCATTTAGAAAAGTTTTATTCATAGAAGTTTTGCAAGCAAGGTGGAGCTTATTGTGGTGAGCTGGCTGTGGGTATAGCTGGGTAACAGCCAAACCAGGAAGGTAATCAGAGGGTAAGGTCTGTTATTACAAAAGAGCAGAGCTACTCAAGGAAGCTATTTATAGTTCAGTGCCATTAGGATTTGTAAGAACTTTTTAGATGTGCAGCTTTTTTTTTTTTGGGGTGGTGAATTTGTTACTCAAGCCTATTATAGTTGTCACTCAGTGTCCACAGGGTATTGGTTTCAGGACCCCAGCGAATATCAAAGTCCATGGATGCTCAAGTTCCTTATGTAAAATGGCATCATATTTGCATATAACCTATGCACATCTTTCAGTGTACTTTGTCAACTGATAGTGGTTGGCACCAATTCAGCCCCAACAGGAATCCCCAACTTGGGGTGCGGTGAAGAAGGAGACATCATTCAGAGCAGACAGCGCATGAGGTGCAGCACAGCTCGGGAACAGCTCTGTGGTGTTGCAGCTCAGTTATGAGGCAGTGCAGCATGGCTTTGACGTGGGCCTGGGGAGAAGAAGCCCTGCACCAAGGCCCCTCTCCAGCTAGACAGTTTGGGTCTGCACTGGTCTGCTCCACCTGCTGGGTCCAGTTTGCTCCATTCTTCCCTGTGCTGGTCTGCTCAGGCCAGGGAAAGGCTGTCTTAAATGGAAAAGGAAAGTGTGCGCTCAGCCAGAGGGGAGCTGGCTTATGTAGACAAAAGTCCCCACCCTTGGTCCCTGATTGGTCCACCCTTATGCAAATGAGGGCTCCAAATCCTTTCCATTTGATTGATCAAAATAGAGCTGCTCTCATTGGTTGGTAAAGATGCTGATGGGAATATAGCTACACAGCTCCTGTTGGATGGGAAAAGCCTCAAACCTATTGGTTGAAATAGAATCCTAGGAATTCCTTTATGGCGCTGGTTCAGGTGACAGAAACAGTGCAGGCAGGTAGGTCAGTCCAAGGGCAGCTTAGTGCAGGTTTCTTCCTGAAGTGCAGTTGGTGTGAGAGGCCCTTGTGTGGAATGGCTGCTGGGCTCTGTTTTTAAAAATTTGAGGCCAGCTCTGGCCAGTTTGGTTCAGCGGTTAAAGCGTCAGCCCGTGGACCAAAGAGTCCCGGGTTCAATCCTGGCCAAGGGCATGTACGCTGGTTGCAGTTTGTCCCCTGATCCAGCTAGGGTCGTGTGGGTGGCAAACAATCTATGTGTCTCTCTCACATGATGTTTCTCTCCCTCTCTCTCTCCCTCCCTCTCTATCTGAAGAAAAATGGAAAAATATCCCCAGGAGAGGATTAAAAAATATCTATATATGTATATAGATATAGATATAGATATAGATATAGATATAGATAGATACATGATGCTAGTTAGCCACCAGGAGTCCTTCTTAGTATGTATCTTCTTTCTCATGATTTACATACCTAATATAGTGTAAATTCTATGTAACTAGTTATACTGTATTGCTTAGGGAATAATGACAGGAAAAAAGTCTGTACATGTTCAGTACAAATGCAAGCATTGTAGGCCTAACTAAGTAGTGCTTAGCCATTAGACTACATAGTACATTGTCAGCGACAATGTGACTTTTCTTTCCAGTACTTTCCATCTGCTGTTGATTGAATCTGCGGATGCCAAAACCGCAGATATGGAAGGTGGAGTGTACTCTGTAGTTGGTATTCCTCTGTATTATTGTCATTCTTAGACATTATAATATCTTACTTTAGGGCTGAACTTATATCTTTAGGTTGGTTGAATGTCAATGAAAATCACATAAAAATATATACAGTGATACCTCGGTTCTCGAACATAATTCGTTCCAGGAGGACGG